AAAATAAATTGCTATTATATAAATCTATACTTAAACCAGTCTGGACATATGGCATTGAACTGTGGGGTGCTGTTTCTAGCTCGAATATCGAAATCCTGGAAAGATTTCAATCGAAAGTCCTATGCAAAATAGCACGGGCACCATGGTTCGTACTGAAGGAAATAATCCGAAATGACTTACACATACCTACAGTTGAAGAAGAAATTAAAAAATTTAACGCAAAATATAATTCCAAACTTCAAATCACCTAAATAAGCTTGTCAACAAACTTTTCAAGACATCTATCGCCAATATTAGACTGAAGAGACATAAACTAATGAATGCGCAAATAAATTAACATAATTATTTCAATCATATTATTAAACAAAGACAGTATACTCACTGAAGTTACTGCTATTTATTGTGTGTTGTGTGTGTATGTGTGTGTGTGTTGTGAAAAATTCGTCCTTTGAGATCGGTGTGTGAAGATTGTCTTCCCGTGATCGATGCAATTCCGAATAAGACAATCGCTCTTCTAGCACTTGTCCACGCGGTGTCCGATTTGCCGTCATGTCTTCATTCCTCGGGATATCCCGCCTACATTTTCACTGTGGCCTCTTCCACACGATATGAATTATTTGCACTTTCGGATCACGTCGCTCGCACTTCCTTGCGCATTATCAATCCTGGCAGACTCACGAAAACGTTTCATACCCGGCTGAATATGTTCGGCTCACTCTCGATGTCATGAAACGCTACCCCCGTGTGAGGTGCCAGTTCCTATTTTGCCTCAGCGGCAGCCATCGTCCCGCCATCCGTCGCGTCCCGTCCATCCAACGCGTTGAGTTCCGTACCTTTTCTATGCGCTGTAATAGGTTGTTATTAGCTGCAGCGGTCTCTCGCTTACGTATTGACGCACGCCCGGTGTGACTCTCTACTCGTCCGTTATTCCTCTCGCTTCTACTGGAGTGCGGATCCATATTGACCTAGCGTGACTCCTTTTGTAATATGCCTTCAGATGGGCCTGGTATAAAGCCCGTTTCAAAATCACCAGGGATTACGGGCGGGTTTAGTTCCGGGCACTTGCGGGAAATTATGAAGCGCAACATGCCCTCCTGAAACTCGCGGAAACTACCTGTCACATTCCGCCGGTACCTTTTTAAAAGATCAACCAATTCCGCAGAATGCGACACATTAATCCGTCGCTTAAGAGCTCGCATGACTCTATCTTTTATAATATAGCGCATTATTATTCTCGTCGTTTTATCCAGCAACATCTCGACCATTTACTCTCCACGCCGCCCCGAACACCCGAGTAACCAGCGTTACTCTCGCGGTATGGGCAAAACAGACGACCTTGTTGCACAGCTGTCTTATATTAAAAAAAATTGAGAATATGATATCAAAGCGTCTTTCTTACCATCGCTGACTAGTTATTCAAATGGGAGTTCGAACCTACACAAAAACTTCGTCCACGAATGCGACTTCTACGCATTCGTTTGTCGTTTGTCTCAATACCAAGGGCAGCTCGTTTCTGTCCATTCTAATTTAAAATAAAATTCTTGGCAGTGCGGATTACACGCAATAACTTGAGTCCGTAATTCAAAATCGCAACACAACAATATTCCAAAACTACAACACACTCGTCGCACATCTTTCCTTAATCTACTGATCAAAACAAAAGATTATTACTCAGAATGGCCAGGCAGGTCAAGCATCCCAATTACACAAACACAACATCCGCCCAACAGCTCAACGCTTATCTGCTTCTTCACCGGTCATATACTGTAAATATGGTGTTTAGCGGCCTTCGATACGTTAGGTCGGTGACTCACTTACCTATGCCTGATCGCAGTGACGATAACAAAAATCATGCCTAGTGTATAACTGCTTTTCCCACTCTTGCTCGGACACGCGACCCTCTCTCACTCCAAGTTCGAGCTGAGAAAATGTAACTAAACACCGCTCGAGCAAACGTCTCTCTTTTGGGGTATGTTAACGCCTCACTCGTGATTCTCTTCGCACTCACTCGTATAATGCGTCACAACTCTGATCAGATTAGTACTTTCCGCGTTCTCCCGCTTTTTGCGGTATCTCTCTTACCCTTCCCTATTATATTTTAGTTGTTCTTTTTTAAACTGAATTGGTGTATTTTCAATGATATAATCACCAATTTTCAGACGAATCCCACAAGTTTTATCTAGATTATTTTTCTCTTTCTTCTCATGTAACAGATGAATATATTTTCCCGTTAATGAATCATCCAAAAATTGTCTTAGTGAATTATTTTCTATAGTAGTGATATTGAAAGAATCATTGGCTGTCTTATGAAAATTATCATCAAAACCATTGTCATTGTCATCAATAGCAGATTCAAATGCAAGGTGGAAATATTAAAGTGTGGTATCCAATTTGTTTGTAGTACTATCCAAGTAATCAGATTTTCGAAAACTACCAGCAGATGTAGAAAAAATTCAATTTGCAAGGAAATTCCTAGTTGGTAGATATGCTTTCCAACTCGGTAAAGTTATAAAATCAAAATTATCGTACTTACGAGGGTTGTTCGATAAGTACTTAGCCTCACCGCCCGATGGCGCCACTCTCGCAAAAGAAATATTCTATCACGTAGTACAACCTTCTCGATGGTTACTGTCAAGATTTTAGCCGGATCGGAGTTGTAGTTTATTTTTGAGAGCGTGTGAAAGCAAGTGTGTCCGTTGATTTTTGAAAAATGGAAAAAGAGCAGTATCGGTCAGTGATTCGATTCTTGTTTTTGGAAGGGAAATCGCGCAGCAAAATCAAAAAGCGCTTGGATGCTGTGTACGGTGACTCTTCTCCTTCGATGGCGACCGTCAAAATTTGGTTTAACGAGTTTTAACGTGGTCGCACGTTGATTTTTGAAAAGCCACGTCCAGGTGCTCCGAAAACGGCTACCACGGAGGATAACGAGATAAAAATTCACGATCTCGTATTGGTAGATCGACGATTGAAGGTGCGCAAGATAGCTAAGATAAAAAAATTCTGAAACATATTCTTCAATTGGTGTTGCTCTGTTGTTTAAAGTATAGTGCTCACTCGTTTAGGTAGGAAGACCTCAAATTGACCATTAATAGTGAGTACGATACTAAATCCATATTTAGTGTTCAAGATTCTCACTTTAATAACCATGTACGTGGTATTATTTTCCAATGACGACATGATCTTCTACGGCAAGTAAGTTGACTTGTCAATCTTGTTGATTGATGAGAAACCCATTCTGCAATTAAATACATTCATTAGATATTCTACAATTAATTTAATTAGTAGTTATATCAAATAATTCTAGAAAAGCTTACTTTTATTGGAGGTTTGCTAGTTTTTATTACAAGAGAGGATGAGGAGGAGGTTAAACTGATTCTTCGAGCTGCTATTGAACAATTGTGCTGTACTACAGTGAATTCGCTTTTGTACCTAGCACCTCAATTCATCTTCCATACCCACCTAAACTGCTTTCCTCTTTTTCGTTTTCCTCTTTCTTTTTTTTCTTAATTCCTGTCCATTGCCCAATCCATGAACTGGAGCATTGTTCCTATCTGCTTGTCTTCTTTTTCTTCTCTTACAGCACCCTTTAGCCTCAGCCTCTTTACAGTAAGCCTTTTCTTTCTAAAGCAGATTGTTTTATATAAATTTCTAATGAATTAATAGCAGAATTGTTAACATTTTCAATCTAATCAAGTCATCTACATCTGGATTGTATTGTATTAGATTTTCCAAATATTTCGCACTAGATCTTCCAAGTACAAAATAGAAATCATCTTGATAGTAGTTTATATAGAATAATTGTATGCTACTTCAATTGAATTCGATATCTATTTAATAGTTACTACAACTACTATTACTACTACTACTGCTACTACTACTACTACCACTATTACTACTACCACTATTAATCTGTGCTTTTCTTGCGAGGGGAAGAGAGTGGGCACCCACCACCACATTTTTCGGGTTGCTGATTGAGACTAGGCGTAAGACGCGGACCGTCGGTGGGTCAGTATAAAAATATACCGAAATCATACACACTCATAATCACAACACAGACACACATAATCTCACGGAGGGCTGGACTGCTTCCTGGGCGGGATGAGGGGGAAAGACCTGTTCTGAAAGCTGGAGGATATGCTTGACGCGGTGGATCTGTAACAGGACCTCCTACTGCTAAAACTGCTGAACACCCCGCTAGTAAAAAGAAGTGAAGGGCTCTATAAACGAGCCATACATTCACTGAGGAGGCCGTATGGGCGTTTAGAGAGCGGAAAGCGGATATCCTAGAGTCGTCTAACGTGAATAAACGTGCCCCCCCCCTTAAAAAGGGGAGGTAATCACTGATAGATTCACAAACCGATGTGGTAACCCTATAAATGAGCTCCTTTATCGCTGAGTTGGCTCACTACACCCAGATCCAACTAACTTAGGGGAACGCGAACACGACTGACGAAACCCAACCCAGTTCCTCCCTTCGGAGCAGTTCAGCATCGAAATGAGAGGATACGCACTATACATACAAGCGCAAATAAAATACACAATACACAATACAGACAACACACAGTTGTAGGTGGAGCCCGTTCTTAACGTGTGATTAAATAAATAAGGTCGGGTTCTACACTTGGGTGTGATGGCGAGTCCAGCATAGTCTCCTAGTAATCATGTTGGACACTCGCATGCCCCTGAGCTCAGCCACAAAGTGCATAGGGATCGGCTCAGTAATGAAGCATATTTTAGGAATACAATATACATAACTCGCACTACTGAGATAAACAGACAAAGAGAAGAGAATAACAAATAGTAGTGCGGAGAAGACACTGCGGGAGTTACTACTGCATTTTAGTGCCACCTTTTATCCTGTTCGCATTGTACAATAAGAAGATATTGAAATTTTAATTACAAATACATATATAATTATATACTAAAGAATATTGCGTTATATTTTTTATTTTCACAACTTTGAAATCCGAATTTTAGTCTAAAAAACACATAATACTCACTTTGCAAGCAATCGGCATTCAGCAGATCTTTACATTTCTCGTGGCATTTGACGCCACACTCGACACATCTAACACCTTGACGTGCTATCCCCCACAGGAGACCTTCACATTCATAGCAATATGTGGGAGATGTTGCTGTCCATGTAACAAAATTATGCGGTGTGGTTGAAGAAATTGGATAAATCATTGCTTGTAGAGTCTTCTTGTAAACATGCATTTTCTGGAAAATATAGAATTGATTTATATGTAAATGAAACTTGTATTTTTTAGAAAATAAATCATTTTAATTATTACTTTAATCTCTGTAATTTATTATTGCGTGAAACATTTTTTTTTAATTTTGTAATTTCAATTTGTAATAGTAACAGTTAGACGTTCTTAAGGAAATAACCACATTAATAAGATTAATAGAAAATAAGAAACAACGTATTCATTGAAACATACAATAAATTCTTTATACAAAATAGATATGACTAGTTTCATAACTCAGAGCTGCTCATTGTCATTCATTTAGGTTCTTACATTTATAAAATTTTTGATAAACTAGATACAATTGCGTGCAAAAGTGTCTGGCCAAAGATATTGTATGTTTAAGTAATGTATAAATGGTGATATGTGGAAACACAAACATACCTTCGTAAAGTACTTTTATTACTTAATTAAAACATGTGATTTAAGAATTTATTTTAACAATTAATAAAGTTTTAACACGAAAGTAATAAATTTTGCGTATCCGTAAGTATTCGGTCAAATATTAAGTAGATACAATTTGCTTCACTTTCTTTACGTTATAGGTTGCAAAGGTATGTAAACGCTGGGAATATGTTTCTTTTATACTTTTAAATCAGTATCAATCAATAGATATATAGAAGCGCATGTGTTAAGACTTTCAAAAACTCTTGATTAAATTATACAACGAAGGAAAAGTTTCACGTGAAATAGCTAAAACTTTGGCATCAGGAAAATTAACTGGGAATGATATTATGAATAAATTTAAGAATACTCACACTCTAGAAGATCAAAAATGTCCCGAGAGACTAAGAAAATCCAGTAATCGTGTTCATAAAATTATTAAAAGAAAGGCTTTTTCAAATATAAAAAAAAACGCTGCCATTATTGCACGCGAGTTACGCGAAGAAAATGTAGCAGATATAATTCAAAGTACTGTTTTACGCAAAATAAGAAAAGTATGACTTTTTGGGCTTATTAGTGTAAAAAAACCACTGATTAGTAAGAAAAATAAGAAGGTTATATTAGATTTTGGAAAAGACCATCAAAGCTAGACTGCTGAGGACTGAAAAAAAGCTATTTTCCAGAGAAACTAAAAGTAATTTGTTTGAATACGATGTTGGGAGATATGTATGGTGACCAATGGGTAGTAGATATGATTTTCGATATTAAATGTTAATTGTGATATACGATGGAGGTAGCATTATGCTATGGGGTGCATTTTCTTGGAAAATGCACTATGAACTCTCACGTATACAGAGATATTTTACTACTGTAAATATGACCTCTTATTGGTCATGACATACCAAGAGAATGGATATTTCAGCAGGATAACTATTTAAAAGATCGATCACAGCTCCTTCAATAATTTTTTAGCAAGAGAAAGATTCGAGTTTTCGATTGATCTAGTCAATCTCTGAATTTGAATCCAATAGAACATTTATGGCAAGAGCTAAAATTAAGATTAGGGACTCAAAATTATCCTAACTAGAAGTCCGGAAAAATATTCCTCATCATAGGATTACCAAACTTATTGAATCGATGCCTTACCGATGTGCTCCTGTGATAGCTCGTAAGAGTATGACTAGAAAGTACTGATGAATATGTTACATTTGACACCATTTTCAATTTATTTTTTTCGTTAGCGAGAGCCAATTGAGAATGAGAGCAGCAGCGGCGAGAAGAAAGAGAAGAATAAATGCGCCGCGTAAAACGGCGGAACGAACGCGAGCGACCCGCAGCGATCCACTCACGAGAACGATGTCGCGTTGTTTGAGCCGGCACGCGTGCGGTGAGAGGAGAAAGTTTGAGCATTTGATCGGCACTATCTACCGTAACGGCCGAGAATGCGCGCACTAGAACAGAAAGTGACAGGATTTTTAAATAGACTATTGGAGAGCAGCAAGAAACCGATCATCCGCGAGTACTGCGATACCGGCGAAGTCCTCCCTCCGGTACCTCTCAAACCTATTTTTGTACCGTACCTTAGTGCGTTCTTCCGTGAATTCGCGTCGTTTCTCTCTTTTTGTCTCTGTAGATATTAACTGTTAATAAAGATAATTGAAGGTTATGGAGAGTCATTTCTGTGTGTGCCCGTCATTCCCTTTTTTTCCCGCCCGTCAACTTCGTGACGAGGCCCATCGTCACTATTGCAGTGGAGGAAACAAGCTTTCCACACCTTCCCCTTAAAAAAAGATTAGTGACACGGTGCTTGGACAAGGGCCCATTGTATGGCTCGTGGGAATAATGAAGTACGATAATTCCCCTACGTATTTAATTAGTGTTACAAGTGATTATTATCTATTAATTATGAGCTTAGAAACAAATAATACCGTGGTAGAAAAGAACGACATTTACTCTAATTATATTAACTTCAATAAACACAAATAATTAAAAAAAGAATCAATTGGAAAAATTTGTTAATATATGATCTCAATTTAACAACTAACTTAATAATTGCTGAAATAATAAGTTTCATAAAGATTTCAAAAACATTTTGTAAGTTTTTTTACGAGTTAGTTTAATAAGTAATCAGATTAACCAAGCATTATCATGAATGTTCTTTGAGAATAGAACATATATCTAATTAATTTTTATAATTCGATTGAGCACAGAAAATCTGAATGTAATAATAGATAATAAAAAAATAAAAATGATAGAATATCTTCCAGTTTAAAATTTTTTAGCCTTTCAGCTTGATTCTGTTAAGCTTACTTCTTTCAATAATACTCTGTATATTTCTCCTTGATAGATAGAATGCCACCACATTGATGCTATCACGACGAAAAGGTAGACTAATTTGTTAAAACGGGAGAGAGATACCCAATTACTAAGCAGCTTCTCAAGAGGAGATAGCCTGGATACGCATCACTCAAAGTTTCGGAATAACTTACCTAACTAAGAGGTTGTTTAGTCCCTTTAGGTTCTAGATTTCTAGGAAACTGAGCACTTTCCTAGGTCTTTGAATTTTGACGGAAGCACGTTAGACAGTGGCAAAGTAATGTGAAGGGACCAAATATTGTATAGTAGATAGGTAATTCGTAAGTCACACTTCTGCCCAAACACTTGCCAGTTAAGTTCATCGTGTCGAGATAAGAAATTTAGATAGACAAGAAACTTATAGGAGGGTCATTCAATAAGTCCGTGACTTTCAATAAAAAAACACTATTTATTTAAATAATTTTAATTTATTTTTTAACATAGCCCCCTTTTGACACTATACAATATCTGTTCAAAAAGTATAGCGAATCCACGGGATACGTAAATTTGATTTTTGATTTTTTGTAGCGTTATGTTGGTACCGTCCCTTACTTATGCTGCCAAGGTCAGTCATTTTGAATGTTTAGCTAATTTTTGACAGCTGTTTTGCTTGGATTTTTGCCTATTCTAAAAAATGGATTAAAGAATCTGTATCAAATTTTATGTGAAAAACAAAATAAAGTGCGCGGATGCATTCCGAATGTTGACTGTGGCATATCGTGAAGCTACCTTGGATCAAAGCAACGTTTATCGGTTGTGACGAGAGCAGGCCGTGTGCCGTTCTCTCGTCTGCGTTCTCCCTCCCCCACTCGGCAAGGCGTGTTGGCCAACGTTAGGCGCATTAAAATACGCGTCTAACACTTGGCCTTTTGTTTCAGCGCCAAGGACGAGCCAGCGCAGTTGAGCGCAAGAAAAAGTTGAAGAGCGCGGAGAGAGAGTGAGAAAGAGAGAGAGAGAGAGAGAGAGAGTATTAGGCCTATGCAGGGATTGGCAGGCGCGCAACGCGTGACCGATAAGCGGCGCGTCGCGTGCCGCCTAACTAATAGGTCAAGGTAGGGAGAGGAGCGAGCGCCGCTGAGCGGCTGCAAGACGAGCGCAAGAGTCAGTGCGTGAGAGAGTCGCAGCCGAGTCCTACTAGAGTGAGGGAGTCGAAGCCTAGTCCTACTAGAGTGCGGAAGTCCGAGCCCAGCAGAGAGAGCAGTTTGGGATAGCCGGAAGGAAGGAAGATCAACCCTACCGGCAACGGCTTTGCCAGCAACTGCATCCAGCCCACCTGCTAGGAGAGTCAACGTCGCCTACGGATACCCGGTCAGCGACAGCGGTTAGCGACGATCTGACCAGCGACGACACCCGGTACTTCCTGCGGCAGCGCATCGCTCAGGATTCTCGACGTTGCGAGGAATAGGAGATAAAAGGTCAAGCCTTCCTTTTCTTCTTTCTCTCTACACTCTCTCTCTCTCTGTTGATGCGACGACCGGTGCGCGTTGAAAGGATAGAGTTTTGTTACACGGTAGTACAAAACGTTCTCAGAGAGCCTAGAAGATGTGAACGACGAATAACGTGCCGGACGCTCGTGACCAATCGTCGAATCACCGTTAGAGAAGTTTCTGAGGATCTGAACATATCGATTGGCTCATGCCATTCGATTTTAACCAATGATTTGAGTATGACTTGGGTCGCCGCAATATTCGTGCCAAAACTGCTCAATTTCGACCAAAAACAGCATCGCGTTAACATTGCTCAAGAGATGTTGGACTCGGTCCGTGACGACCCAAATGTTCTCCAGAGGATCATAACTGGTGATGAATCATGGGTTTATGGTTATGATGTGGAAAGAAAATTTCAATCATCCCAATGGAAGTTGCCGCATGAGCCAAGACGGAAAAAAGCTCGCCAAGTTCGGTCGAATGTGAAGGTTTTGCTCAAAGTTTTCTTCGATTACAGGGACGTGGTGTATCACGAGTTCTTGCCACAGGGTAGTACGGTCAATAAGAAATATTACCTACAAGTTATGCGCAATTTGCGCGAAGCAATCCGCCAGAAACGTCCGGATTTGTGGAAGAACAAAAACTGACTTTTGCACCATGATAACGCCTCTGCTCACATATCGTTGTTTGTGCGCGAATATTTGGCCAAAAACAAGAGTGATGGTGCCGCAGCCACCGTATTCCCCATACCTAACCCCCCTGTGACTTTTTCCCGTTCTTAAAACTAAAGAGGCCCATGAAAGGA